GAGGGGGAGTGCTCACGAGGGGGTGTGCTCACGAGGGGGAGTGCTCACGAGGGGAGTGCTCACGAGGGGGAGTGCTCACGAGGGTGTGCTCACGAGGGTTGTGCTCACGAGGGGTGTGCTCACGATGGGGAGTGCTCACGAAGGGAGTGCTCATGAGGTGGAGTGCTCATGAGTGGGAGTGCTCACGAGAGGAGTGCTCATGAGGGGGAGTGCTCATGAGGGGAGTGCTCATGAGGGGGAGTGCTCACAAGGGGGAGTGCTCACTAGGGGAGTGCTTATGAGGGGGAGTGCTCATGAGGGGAGTGCTCATGAGGGGGAGTGCTCACGAGGGTGTGCTCACAGCTGCTATGAGGCCCAGGTGCTGCCGCCCGGGGACACACTGCCAGTGCGGAGTAGGCCCCCTCAGAGACACAGGCAGCAAAGGCACACAGGTGAGGGCCGTGTGCGGAAGGAACCGAGCCAGGCCAGAGCAGCAACACCACACACGTGGTTAAACTCCTCCCCACCCTGAGCTGCAATCACTCGGACTCACGCTGACCCCAGCAACATAATATAAGTCCCCCCGACATTGGAAAATATGGCTCACGTGGCCACGCGGCCGCTCTCAATCGTGTGGCTGTCCAGGGGCACTGGGGCCTGAGAGCCAGGCCTTCTGGTGTTTTCTGAACATCTAGAACCCACAGAGTCCCACAGATCCCAGCCCTTCGGCGTTGGAGGGAGGATACACAGCGTGACTGAAACAGTCCTCAGCCGACACAGGCCTGCAGCCGGGTCAGGACCTTCCCTCGGGGCTCCGTCCAGGCTCTTCACAAAGAGTGGACAGGCCTCACGGACCGACGTGCCACTGAGACGTGGGATTGTGCCAACCACGGAGCCCAGGTTAGCCACCTTCCGCCCGGTTGGAGCTTACGGGGAGACGCCTTTCAATACAGAGGCTTCGGCAACTTGAGACAGGCATGGCGATGCTTCCCTTGTTTGAATTTTAAAATTTCGGGACCCAAAGTACCCCAAGGTTAGCACAATCCTGAATTCACACACTCCTCAAAAATAAAATGAAACAACAAATCCAGCCCCAGGGAAGGCCAGTTCTGGCCCTTTGGGTCCCCACCACCCAGCCCCACCTCTAAGTTCACACCTCTCGGGACAGATCTGCTGAAAACGCGACTGTGCTACCTGCGGCCACTTTCCGTTCGACTGTGCCCGCCTCCTGATCTCCTCCACGGTCTTCCTGCGGGAATCCTGGTCCGACCGGGACACGAACACCGGCCGGATGTACTTTATCAGAGCTGGAAGGGAAGGAAGGCACTCGTGTGGGAACAGGCCACAGGACTGGAGGAGGGACAGCAGTGGCCCTGAGGGGCGGGCCGCAGTCGATGCGTGACCCCGAGGGAACCGAGCATCGGCAAAGCTCCCTCACACGGCAGCACGCAGCCCCACACCCTGCAAGGTCGGCAGTAACCGCAGCGTCCGTGGGCCTGTCCATCAGGATAAAGTGAGAAGAATGAGGCTGACCGCACCCCTGCTAACAGAGGACGGCGGGGAAGGCTCCAGGGTCAGAAGGGCCCCAGGCATGTGGTTTAAACACCACCCGCCCCTATTATGGGCACACCGTGTCTCTCGAAAACACGGGCTGTCGTCCTAACCCCAGTGACCTGGGACCGTGACTTCATTTGGAAACAGGGCGTCTGCAGATGCAAATGTACGACGAGGTGGTCCCGGAGTGGGGTGGGCCCCAGCCCAGGCCCGGTGTCCTCACAAGACGAGGAGGAGGCCACGGGACACCAAGGACTGCAGGGAAGGGCCAGGGGCTGCAGGGGGCCGTGTGGACTCCCCCCCCCCCCCCCCCCCCCCCCGCCCCGGACCTGCCCTGTCCACACCTGTGCTCTGCACTTCTCGCCCAGGTGGAGAAATCAACACCACCCAGCACGGGTGAGGCAGCCGCAAGCCCAGCCATGCGCCACAGGCCACATGTGCCACACAGCCCCCTGGTGAGGGGGTGGGTCAGTGCTCCCACCACCAAAGAGGATGGTTGTCGGGAAAGAGGGTCTAAACGTGGGAAGATACATCTTAGAAGAGAAACCTGGAGCCCACGTGTCCCGACGTGTCCACATCTGAACCCCCAGAACCTGTGCACGAAACCTTATCAGGGAAAACGTTCTTCGCGGATGTAACTAGTTACGGATCTGAAGATGAGACCACCCTAGACCATCCAAGGACAGGCGTCCTTATAAAAGACACACACACAGAGGCGGCCTGTGACGAGGGACGCGGGGCCACCAGGAGCTGGAAGAGGCAGGAGGGATCTTTCCTGAAGGCCTCCAGAGGGAGGGCGGCCCTGGGACACCCCAGCCTTGGACTTCTGGCTCCAGAAGGGGGTAGAAGCTTCCGCTCTCTTAAGCCACCAGTTTGGTAATTTGTCATTTGTCACGAGGCCTAGGGACACTTGCATAGCTGGGCTTCTGGTACAGGAACCAGTGCTCTGGGACACAGCTGGGGAGCTGTCCCCAGGCATTAGAGTGCCTCTGTGATACAGAAGCTGATGACATGCTCCAACACGTCACGACATCTGGGGCCACTTGTGTGTGCACGAGATGTAAAAGTTGTAACAACAGATGCTGCAAAGGAACCATAAGAAAAGGAAAGAACAGACCCAGGACAAGTGCCTAGGTCACATGGGTGTGACCTGTGCCGACCAGCAGGAGGGGGACTCACTCCCAGTAGGAGGGGAGAGGACTCACTCCCAGCAGGAGGTGGGGGGGCTCACTCCCAGTAGGACGGGAGGGCTCACTCCCAGTAGGAGGGGAGGACTCACTCCCGGTAGGAGGTGGGGAGGACTCACTCCCAGGAGGTGGGAGGACTCAATCCCAGTAGGAGGTGGAGGGGACTCACTCCCAGTAGGAGGGGGGGACTCACTCCCAGCAGGAGGTGGGGGGGCTCACTCCCAGTAGGAGGGGGGAGGACTCACTCCCGGTAGGAAGGAAGAGTACTCATTCCCAGTAGGAGGTGGGGAGAACTCACTCCCAGGAGGTGGGAGGACTCAATCCCAGTAGGAGGTGGGGGGGACTCACTCCCAGTAGGAGGGGGGAGGACTCACTCCCAGTAGGAGGTGGGGGGACTCACTCCCAAAAGGAGGGGAGGACTCGTTCCTAGTAGGAGGGAGGAGGACTCAGTCCCAGTAGAAGGGGGGAGGACTCACTCCCAGCAGGAGGGGGGGGGACTCACCCCCAGTAGGAGGGGGGGGGGTTCCCCCCCAGCAGGGGGTGGGGGGGCTCACTCCCAGTAGGACGGGGGAGGATGCCCTCCCAGTAGGAGGTGGGGGGCTCACTCCCAGTAGGAGGTGGGAGGACTCACTCCCAGGAGTGGGGAGGACTCGCTCCCGGTAGGAGGGGGAGGACTCACTCCCAGTAGAAGGGAGGGAGGACTCACTCCCAGTAGGAGGGGGGAGGACTCACTCCCAGTAGGACAGGAGGGCTCACTCCCAGTAGGAGGTGGAGGGGACTCACTCCCAGTAGGAGGGGGGAGGACTCCCTCCCAGTAGGAGGTGGGGGGCTCACTCCCAGTAGGAGGGGGGAGGACTCACTCCCAGGAGTGGGGAGGACTTGCTCCCGGTAGGAGGTGGAGGGGACTCACTCCCAGCAGGAGGTGGAGGGGACTCACTCCCAGTAGGAGTGGGGGACTCACGCCCCACATGGGGACGGGGAGCTCACTCACTTCCCCATATTGGGATGTTCCTGCTCTCTGCCTTCATCACGATGGAGGACATCGTCATGGTGACAGCGATGGCGTCGAAGTAGGAGGAATGGGGCGCCAGAGTGAGGATGGCAGCCTCAGAGGGTGGGGCCTGCTGCCCCTTCACCACCACCCAGTGGAAGCCTCCGGCAAACCACATGGTGCGCATGATGGCCTTGAGCAGGACGTCCACGACCCTGCAAAAGAAGGTGCTTGGTCAAACCGAGGCAGGGCAGGGGGGTCGCAGGCCGGCCCCGTCACGGCTTGTGAGCGTGAGGCCGGCCCCGTGCACACGGACCTGACCTGTCAGGCCATCCAGGGTGCCGTCCAGGCTGATCCGAAACGTGCACCGGCCGGAGGAGGGAAGAAAACAGGTGCTGTGCTTTCGTCCGTCTGTGTAGACGTGCAACATTGTGACTTTGTTAGGAAAACGGAAGTGGCTGTGCCACGCCTCACAGCAGTGTAAAGACACACAGAGTCCCGACCTCACAGACTCCGGGGCCGCAAGCATTGGAAGGTGACGGATTCGCATCCTGAGCACGGAGGTTTTAAAGAAACATCAGCCCACTAAAGCATGCCAAATGGAAGTAAAATCAGGAGTGAAGTCAGGCCGAGACCAGGAGCAGAGGCCTGTGGGGAGAAACCACGGTCCCACCTCCCTCAGGCTGCCCGTGGTCCCAGGACCGGATGCCACGCTGTTAAGCCTTTTCTAGATGAGATCAGGTGGACGATGACAGGACTGAGCGACAGAAAAGAGCCGGAAATCTCACGGGACTGATCCCCTCAAGAGAGTTCTGGAAGACGAGGCCCGACGGCTCTGAGCAGCAGTCCCTCATGGGGCCGCCTTGAGCCGCCGTCGCCTGCAGGGGATGAACAATCCCGGTGTGGTTGTACACCTGCTGGAGCCAGGCTCACACATCCCCACATCGCCACAACCGGGTGTGATCGCTTCCTTACGTGTCCAAGCGCACATTGCTAAGCATGTTTGTGTGCGCGTCTGCTAGTTTTCCTAACAGGAACACGTGCAAGAATCAAAGCCAGCTGACACCTGCTGATGCGTAAGGAAGGGGGCGCCGGGCAGGCTGTGGCGGAAGGGGAGCCAGTCCCAGGAAGCCGGGTGCAGGAGCGGGGGGCTGGTGGGAAGTGGGGACCAAATCCTGATGTTTCTGTTGGACACACACCCACCACCCCTCAGGCCAACAGGCCAAAGGGCACTAAGCAGAAGCGCGGGGGGGGGGGGGGGGCGGGCGGATGCATGCAGCACCCCTGACGATTCTCTGAGGTCTCGGGGATTGCCATCCCCAGGACACCGCCCACTGGGAAGAGCCGGCCTGCGGACGTGGAGCAGGCCTCCTGGCCCGACGCCTCCCGGCCAGGCTCAGGCAGCAACGACAAGCCTGAGGTGCCTGGAGCGTTTCCTGGGAATGGAGAGGCAGGACACAGACCTACAGGCACAAGGGCGTTCTTGCTGCATCGCCCAGGCGGGAGCCCAAGAACCTGAGACGTGAGCACAACCAGCCCCGTGATGGAGAAGAGACCGACCAGGGGAGAGGCTGCGGTCCACACCGTCCTCGAGCTGTTAGAATCCAGAACGGGGCGCTGTGAAAGGAGCAGGGGACGAGGCAACAGTCTGGCAAATCCAGCCTCTCGCTGCAGAAGCAGCCAGTTCCCTGGGAAGCTGAGGGGTGAGCAGGATTCCCCGGGGAACAGGCCGGGAAAATTTGGACACGAAAAATTTAACAGGAAACCACAGACTCCTACGACTTCCTTCGAGAGTTTTTCGAGTCCCCAGGGACGGACAGAAGATGCTAAAACTTCCAGAAGAGCAGATGGGCTACCCGGGCAGCACGGCACGCTCACATCTCGCGGCCCCGGGCACGGAAGGTCTGGAACCCGTCGTCTGCGCCCTGACAAGCTACCCGTCAACACTGAGGGGAAAACAAAGACTCCTGGACACGAAACGCACCTCAGTTTCTCCTGCTTGTCCTCTGAGAAAAAACCCCGATGCTCCACAAAATCTTGGGAGGGAAAAAACAAGGGGGGAAAAAAAAAACCCAACCAGGCCGAGGAGACAGACGACGCCCAAACCTGCAGAAAGTCGCTGCACCCAGCAGAAGAAGAACGTGTGATGGGGGGCCGGGGGCTCGGGGACCCCCAGGAGGAGAGCATCATCGCAGCGTGGACGCGAGGGGGCAGACGTGCAGGCTATGCTCGGGCTCAGCATCCCATTAGCAACAGGCGAACGAGAGTCTGTAACTGGAAATGAGGTTCGATGGGGCTCTAAGAGCGGGGCTGTGGCGCGATGGGACAGGTGTCCCGTGAGAGACAGACCGGAGCTGCCCGCCAGGTGAGGACCTCGAGAGAGCACGTGCGCAGGCCAGGAGCCGGATCTGCCTGATTCCAGCCCCCGCAACCTCGCGCTGTTCCCCAGCCTGTGGCACGTGGCTGCGGTGGCCCAAGGGGACTACCATCGGCCCTTCCTAACCATGTGAGTGGGCCCAAGAGGCAACGCCGAGGACCATCCTCCACCGCTGGTCGGGTTTTGCAAGATGTGCCGGTTGTTTACACGACTGTGGTTGGAAGTAAGTAAGTGTGTTGTGAGACTGTTCATTCCTCCCTTCCCTGGAGGCCCAAGGCTTTTCCTTTAGCAAGTCCGAATGGCAGCAGCTTACATTCGGCAAAGACCCTCCCCGACGGAGGAGCATCAGCCCGCTCAGACCCGCACGACTCTGCAAGGCGTGAAACTGCACACCTCCCGGCCGACCCCATGACTCTTCCGCACAGGCCCGTGTGCGCTAATCCGTTTCCTCCTAACTCCTGAGTCCCTGGATCAGGCATCTTGTCTCCACCTTCTCCTTTAAGGAGTTCAGTGTTGGTGGTACTCGTGTTTTCCCTCCAGCACCAGACCCAGCGCAGGGCTGTGCATGGCTCGCGCACACACACACACACACACACACACACACACACACACGTGTACACACCCACATTTGCATATACACATGCATTCACATATATACACATGCACGTGCTTGTATACAAATACACATACTCACGTACATACCTATACATGCATGTATACGTGCACATGCTTGCACATGTGCACACATACGCATGCACATGCTTGTACACACATATGTGCATGCACACTCGTGCACACACCCACATGTGCATATACACGTGCACACATTTGCACACATGCATATACATTCACACGTATATACACATGCATATGCTTGTACACACATATACATACATACACTCATGTACACACCCACACATGCATATACACGTGTGCACACATACACATCCTGCACGTGCATGTACATACACACAAATGCTCACACACAACACATGCACACTGACGTGCCCACACATGTATGTATGCATGTGCTCACATGCTCACACACATATATACACATTCATACATATATGCACACGCACATGCTTGTACACACACATGCACACATACAGGTACACATATGCACGTGCACATGCTTGGACACACGCACACACATGCTTGCACTCCCACACAGGCATGTACTCATGGTCGCACACACGTAAACGTATACACACTCATACGTGTGCGCACAGTGACGTGTGGTCTCCACGGACACAGACACCTCTATTTCTCGCTGCCGAGGACACTTCTCAGGCATGCTCTGGGCACACGAGGCACCTGGGAGGCAGTGGCCCATCTGTCACCGAAGGAGCCACGTGGAGCCGCACGGGGTGGGCACGGGGAATGGAGAGCAGCCCGGAGTCCCGTACTTTGAAAAGACAGAATCTGCACTGTGTGTGTGGACAGAGGAGGGGATCCCAGCCCAGGGACAGAGCTGAAGAAGGAAGGAATTAAGACAAAAATGCCGGGAAGTCGCGTTAACCTATCATGAGTCGAACCTCAAATTTTTAGTCAAATCACTTGTAGTTTGTCAAAAAAAACTACAAAAAACTCTGCTTTCTAGCCACGGATTCTCAACCTAGCGGCACTGAAATTCTGATTTCTATTTGGTCTAGATTTTGTTTGATTACACATCTGACACTAAATCCCTATTTTAGGGCTAAAACATTGAAAAACACCCTCCAGGTTAAGCAAACCTCAAATTTTTAGTCAAATCACTTGTAGTTTGTCAAAAACTACAAAAAACTCTGCTTTCTAGCCAAGGATTCTCAACCTAGCGGCACTGAAATTCTGATTTCTATTTGGTCTAGATTTTGTTTGATTACACATTTGACACTAAATCCCTATTTTAGGGCTAAAACATTGAAAAACACCCTCCAGGTTAAGCAAGCTCTTCAGAGAATTAAGAAACCCAAAAAGTCAGAACGAGGACCCCAGAGCCAGTGATGACCCCAGTGCACCCAAGTGACCACCGTGGACAGGAATGCCAAGCAGCTGTCCCTCCCTCGGGACCTGCTTCCTGGCGTCCCCGGGCCAGGGGCTGTGCTGGGGACAGAATGGGAACAGGTCACGGCCTGCCTTTGGGACCTCCGGGAGGGAGACAGACTGTGGCTCACTTGGTACCGATGATGGTCCAAGAACGTGAAACACGGCAGGGGGTGCACACAAAGACCCTGTGTGAGGGGTCCCCCAGGCACCTGGACCGTCCCCAAGCATGGCCACGCCTTACTCATCACTGGCTCAGCGAACGCTTGACTCGAAATTGGCCGTCTTTGCCCCGCATGTCGGTGCCCTGTGTGAGCACGACAGGTGCGTGTCGGGACCACGGGCACCAAGGACCCGCCAGCTCCCGCCTGCCGGCCGTGGGCATGATGTTCCTGCAGAGCAGAGAGCAGAGAGCAGACACGCTCCTGGTGCAGGAAGTCGAGCCTGTCCCTCAAACCCCTTAAGGCCCAGGAGCGAATGCCCTGGGCTCCGTCTGCCCTGGCGGCTCCACCCTCCTGGGCGGTACGCGGGTCAGCGGGTGAGGCTGGGCTCCAGCAGAGCTGTTGGTAAACCGAGTGCAGCTGGACCTGGCGTGTGCACCTTTCTGCTGACCCCTGTGCGGGCCTAGTAGTAACTCTTTCTGAACAGACCGTTCAAGGGCCCCGTATGGCTGCCGAGAGGCGTTAGGGTGTGGAGAGCGGGGAAGTCTCCGGGTTTACGACAGAAACGACAACTTCCAGGACGCTGGAAATACTTCTCGAAGTCCTCCTGACACTCGCCACCTTCATTTACTAATGTGTATACTCTGCGAACAGCTTTAGGAAGAAACAAGAAAATACTGTGATTTCATTTAACTTCCTGCGGTCCACGTTGGGTCTCTGGCTGAGACATATTCACAACTCGTCTGTCTACAGACGGCTCTCCTTTGTCAGTATCTGGTGAGCAAACGCAAGGGACCTTCCAGGTGTATGAAGCAGGGAGGGTCGCTGGACCCTGCAGAGACCAGACCAGCGAGAAGGCCAGACGCTGGCCGACACACAGCCTCGCAGGGCTGGGGACACGGAAACCCACGGGGAATCTCTGTGCCGAGGACACGCCAACAGCAGCCCGGCCCCAAAGGACCCCCTCAGGGCAGGGGTGCGGTGGGGGCACGGCAGGGGCGGAACCGGCTACTCCCCGAGGGGAAGGGGGCATGTGGCTGGCGGTGTCCCGGCCGGGAGAGGGCAGCCTGGCGTGCTCCAGGCCCAGGCAGGGGAGGAAGGCTGGAGGGGCCGGGGCACGCGGTGGCCCTGCAGACGGGTGACTTACTTCCGCCACGAGGCCGGGGACGGCTCGGGCTCCCTCTCCGAGGACCCCAGCGTGGCGAAGAACGTGAAGGGCCAGGCGAGCAGCATCGCGATCAGGACGAGCAGCAGCCGGATGGGGAAGAGTGTCAGCGTCATGAAGGCCATCTGGGAAGACAGAGGCGAGGTCATTCTGGAATCGGCGGACTCCGCACGGGCAGCCAGCCCGGAGCTGGCGTGGAAACGCCACGCCTGCCCTCACACGTGGCGGCGAGTGGCCAGGACGTCCTGCCGAGGCTCTGGGCTGCACCGCCATCCCCCAACCCCGGCGCCCACAGTCCCGCACGTGAGCCCCTCTGGGGCCCGCCCCGGCACACGCCTGAGTCCCAGCACAACCCGGGGACGCCTCTGCAGCGCTGAGGTTCCCCGCGGTGAGGCGGATGCGGGAGCTCAGGGAGCACTGGGGATGCCCGTGACTCTCCAACCCCAGGACATCACGGGCGGGAGCCCAGCAGAGAACGGGGCACAGCCAGCCCACCTCCAAACGGGCAGTCTGGTCGGGGTGACACCACGGGAGGGGCTCCGTGGGGATGGACACATGGTTCACCAGAGGGGTCAGGGAAGGAACACGGTGGACAGGTGGCCATGACTAAAACCAGGCGCCCGTGCGCACAGAACCAGGCTGTGGTCCCCGCCTGGGGGCACACGCCTGGGGACACACGCTCAGGAGCCTCGCGGTCTCAGAGGGCCAGCATCTCAGCGATCAGGGAGGAAACAGGGCAGGGGACGGATGGCAAAGCTTAAGCTTACAAAGGATTGGTGATCAACAGATGCAACTTACAATTACTTGCAGTAACACACGCTTCGAACGTGTAGGTTTCGGCGCAGGGAGGACAGAAAAGACAGGCCAGGAGAAAGTGCACAGCGACGTCTCCCAGCTCCTGGCCGACTGGCTGGCTGCGGGGCCCACGGCCGCGCCCCTGCTCGTCCGTTACCCGCACCGGACGGCCCTGCGGTTTCTCTGCAGGCGCTCCCGGGTCCCCTGTCAGGAGCTGCACCGCCCAGCAGGTGGGAGACAAGCCGTGTGTGTGAGTTTAAACTGTCTAGTGGCCCCACAAGGTGAGGAAGTGAACGTAGCACAGACATCACATCTGCTGTCCTGTGGTTGATGCTGGTGACGACATTTCCCATCAAGTGCGGACTTGCTCTGGGCTGTAGAAGATGTGCTTTGCTGACAAAAAAGCACCTTCCCGCCCCTGGGTTTCTGGGAGTTGGGTTTGTTCCACGTCACGAATGGGTGAACGCGACCTGCTGTCCTTCCTGCTTCTGGTGTTTGTTCGCTCAGCCCGCGTCCACCACATGCTGCTTTTAGACGTGGGAACCTTGGTCACAGCGCTGGGGTTTCTTTTTTTTAATGTTTATTTTGAGAGATAGAGAGCACAAGCAAGGGGGGCGGAGAGAGGGAGAGAGAACCCCAAGCAGGCTCCCCGCTGTCAGCACCGAGCCCCGCGTGGGGCTCGACCCCACAAACCGTGAGACCAGGACCTGAGCCGAAACCAAGAGTCGGGGATTTTTTTAAGGAACCGCTGAGTCTGCTCACCGATGCGTCTCTGGGTCGAGTCGGGGGCGGGCCTGACCCACGGCTTCCCTCCGGCGGATCCCGTGGCGTGGCCCCCCCTGCACACCAGCGAGCTGCCTCTCGGGGGAGTTTCCACGGTGATGCACACACAAGCGCTGTTCTAATTTTATTTTCATCGCTTACCTAGGTGTCCCACTTCCTCTGATCCTTCCGTGCTTCTGCCGCTGAGAAAATCCTCTCTGGGAGTCCCCAGCAGGTTTTTCCTCCCCTAACCAATCTCCCACCCCGCACGCGTCTGCAAGAGAACCGAGAAGCTGCCCGTGGCCCTCTCCCGTGCCTCTCGTCACCCTGCCCTGCCGTGTAATCGGCATTGTTCGTGCCCTCTGAAACTTTTCGGCCTACACTGACTGGTATTTTTCTACTCTATCAGCCTGTTTACTGAACCAGTTTTGGATGGGTTTACCGTCCCCGGGGCCAGTCGGTCGGTCGTAGGAATTTTAGCTCCTACAGGCACCCCGCTTTTTTTTTTTTTTTTTTATTTTTTTTTTTTCAACGTTTATTTATTTTTGGGACAGAGAGAGACAGAGCATGAATGGGGGAGGGGCAGAGAGAGAGGGAAACACAGAATCGGAAACAGGCTCCAGGCTCTGAGCCATCAGCCCAGAGCCCGACGCGGGGCTCGAACTCACGGACCGCGAGATCATGACCTGGCTGAAGTCGGACGCTTAACCGACTGCGCCACCCAGGCGCCCCAACCCCGCTCTTACTCGGACTCTAACGTCCCTCTTGACTTCTTGAGGTAAAAGCACAGAGCGGTATTTACGGAAGCGCCCCATTTCCCGCTGCCACACTGAGAACGCCCAGCTTTCTCCAGCCCCACAGTAAGTTCCGGACGGCTGGCTGCAGGCACCCCGGACGGCCTTTACACCTGCTGCCCGCGCGGGACGGGCCGAGGGACGACCGGGCAGCAAAGCATGTGAACAGAGCCCGCCAGGAAGTGTTCACAGTGCGAGGGTGCAGCTGCGATGCTGCTCGCCCGCCATCAGGCCTACCCCCCGCTCTGGGTCGACAAAGACGGAACCACACGGGTTCCTGGAGGGCGTGGGAGCGCCAGCCCCGCCCCGTACCTCTGAGAACCACAGACGGGGACGGGGACGGGGAGGCGAGGCGCCCCTGGGGGGCGGCGCCCCGCTCCCTCCAGGGGTGACCCAGACCCGCCCGGTGCCCAGAGTCAGGGCACGTGTGCCGCTCCTCACGTTGTTAATGACATGTGTTCCCGTGGGTGGCCAGCAGCTGTTGGACCCTGGACACGACACATGAGTGACCAAAACTGACTGTGACGACAATTCGCGCACCTCTTACACGCATCCCGAGAACACCACCTGGTTTCCGAGTTTCACGGCGAGCGGGGAGGGGGCGTGTGAGTGCCCAGCACGGGCCGGGGCTCTCAGCTCACAGACGGGGCTCGTGCACAGTGTGGTGAGTGAGCGTCACAGGCCTGCAGTGACCACCTGGCTGGGCCTGAAGGACGGGGAGAAGGTGGACACGGGTTTACGAGGGCCACGTGAGCGGCTTGGGGAAGGCGAGCACCTTCGGGGGGCCCATGGGGTGCAGGAGGGCCCCGGCCACCTGGGCTAAGACCCCGTGTGTTTCCCGGGCTGCTCCCCAGGACCCCATGACCCTGCCTTGACCTTGCCCCAGCACTGGGCCCACGTGCTGTCCACTGGGCTCAGCCCTGCCCCGGAGAGGCAAACGGTCCCCAGAAGGGGCAGGACTCGGAAGGCTTCCTGCAGCCTCTTCCAGAACGTTCTGTGGGCTATGGCCACTCCTCCTGAATTCCAGGCTACCGGCTGGTTGGACCCTCCTGTCCCCTTGCATCTTCTGGCCCACCTGCGTCCTTCCCAGGCCCGGCCACCTCCCGGTGCCCTCGCTGTCCACCACGCCCTGTGCCCAGCCTGTCGGAGCACACTCAGAGTTTCCAGCCACAGGACCACAGGCAGGGCAGCCATGTCAGCCACACGGACGTTCTCAAGTATGCTGGGGCCGAGGAAACGCGTGCTCAGAACGTCCTGGCTGGACTGGAAAACAAACAGGGCCACAAGCAGACGAAAGGGGTCAACTGGGCTGTTTCCAGGCAGTTCCGGCTCAACGTTCGGGAGGCACTGTAATTAGCAACTAGGCTGGACACGGTATTTCCTTCCCGGAGCCAGCGGGGGGCGTCCCATTCCCCAGTGGGAGTGTGCTGGGAGGCAGAGGGGGGCCCCCGGGGAGAGAGCGGGTCTCCGCCCACCACAACCGGAGTAAGACCCAGCTCTGTGCTGGACTCCCTGGGTGGGGCGTGCCCGCTCCCACCGGAGCCCCCCTCAGGGCGGCCCTGGGCCGGAGGGCGGGGTCAGCGGGGCCTCAGGGAGAGAATGCTAGCCTTGCCCCCGGCAATGGCACAGGGCAGGGGCCAGGGGCAGCAGTGGCACACGGGGAGGAACGCTGCTGACCAAGCAGGAAAAGGCTGCTAACACGGGACCCGCGTCCCCTCCAAGATGCTCAGAGGGCTGCGGCCTGTCCCTGTCAGGAGCCCCAGTCACACTCAAAAGTGCCAGGCCGGCCCTCCCATGAGCTGAGGGTTTATAACCCAGTCCCGGGGGGCCCGCGGTGACAGTCCCTGGCTGAGTCGGTTCACGCTCCTTGGAAGCTGGCTTAGATACACGGTCCCATCGGAAAGGGGTCCCCAGGAACAGACGGTGCCCTCCAGGTTCACGGTTGCCCTGAGTCACAGAGCAGCTGTTCTGGCCCGGTATGCTCTGTCTGGAGTCCCCGCTGGAGCAGACCCAGGCGCAAGGAGACCCTCACGGCCGCCTGCAGGCTCCCAGAACTATTTCCTGCCAGACGGAACCAGGGCTCCTGGGCAAAGGCACTCCCAGCGGGGGCAGAAAACGTGGAAGGGGTACCTGGAACCCAGCGGCACAGCAGAGATGGGGAAGGCAGGCAGAGGTCCCTGGGCCCGGGAGCCCCCGCGGCAGACATGCCACTGTGACCACGGTAAGAGCCATCGATGAGGTAACGGAACTTCACCCGTGCTCACGAGTCCATCAACCAGGCGCACACGCCCCACCTCACTGGGGGCCTCCGCGGACCCCAGGAGACCAGCTCCGAGTGGCACCCGGGCCAACAAGGGCGAAGAATCAGGCATCGTGCTGTCCATCCCGAGACTGTCCCTTGGGGCAGCCACGGGGAGAACCCGGGAGTGTCCCCACGGGCTTCCGGAACCCACCACTCGCATACACCCATGTGAAGGGGCCTGTGTGGACGGAGACAGACATGTGAGCCGGGCGCCGTGTGGATGAGCCACGTGACAAGCCAACAGAAACAGAGCCTCCTGATTCTGGATCAGAAGACACGGGAGACACGGGGAGGCGATCGGTAAAACGCAGAGCAAGACGCTCAGGGACAAAAGCCCCAAACACACCGTAAGAAAATAAAAGCAAGGAGCTGGAAGGAGGCTCCAGGGGAGGACGTGTGTGAGGCTCCGGGGTTGATGCCCGCGGCCCTGCTCGAGACACATGCGCACCCGGGAGCATCTACAGGTCAAGTC